GTCTCAGGGTAGAGTTATGGTTGTTTGAGTGCCCATAATGGCCATTTCCATACCTTAGTATATTTGGATTTCTTTCATTCCAAGCAAAGAAAGGCCTCTCCATCCTCCTATCAAATCCCATTTTGGGAAGAATCCCCAATAAGAAAAAAACTAATAATTCATGCAGGTGTTCTTTGACTGACCTTCACTTCATCCCAATGGTCTTTATCCTCTTGCAAGACACGTGCAGTATGAAGAGGGGTTGGCGGTACCACCATTGATTTCTAAGGAAATCAGTAAAACCAGAAAGAAGCATTCTACAAAGCTATCTGCATGAAATGATCACATACTCTCATGAATATATGTGAGGCAGAACATTTATCTACCGTATTCAGATGGCCTCCCATTACCTTAGAATCTGAGTGCTCAACAATCAAATGCACTTATTTTTCTTTCAGCCAGTAATGTAGAAAAGTACTACTATCCCCCTAAAATAATATCACCAAGATGAAGAGGAGGTTCCACCGTTCGAGGTTCTTTTCTTTTCTAGTTTTGTGTATTCCTACTATGCTTTGTTTTTAGCAACTGTTCATTCACTATGTATCCCATTCAAAGCAGTTCATTCTTCTAGCTTTTGTGGCAGGGGAAATTTCACTCTGCACACATAGTACTACTGACTATGCTCTCATCAGACCTTAAATGTAGGGAGGGACACTGTAATACTCCAACAGGAAACCTTTCAGGAAAAGCGAGGTTTGTGTGATTTGGGAGGTGGAAATGCAATCCAATGTTTAAAACAGGTGACTAGGAATTTGGTCATTTGGGTTCTATTCCCAGGTCTGCTCAGCATTTACAATGTGAAGTTGGGCAAATACCCAAGTTATTTTCTGCCTCAGTTTTCCTATCAGGAAAATGAGAACAATGATAGTGACCTCCTTTTGTAAAGCACTTTGAGATCTACTGATGTAAAGTGCTATATATGAGTGAAGGATTATTATTCGCCCAAATACAAAATAGGTACAAAATACCTCACAGGAAAAGGTTGGGAGGCTCAATTAATGTATGAAAAACACAGAGATCTTTAGCTGAAAGGCACTACAGAAGAGCAAGAATGGTATTATCATCGGCTGTGTCTAGACTGCATCCCTTTTCCGTAAAAGGGATGCAAATTAGACACATCGCAATTGCAAATGAAGCAGGGATTTAAATCCCTCCCACTTCATTTGCATAAACATGGCTGCCGCTTTTTGTCCGGCTCTGACCTGTGCCAGAAAAAAGCACCGTTCTAGATGCGGATCTTTCGGAAAATAAAGATTTTTCCAAAAGATCCCTTATTCCTCTTAAAATAAGGAATAAGGGATCTTTTGGAAAAATCTTTATTTTCCGAAAGATCCGCATCTAGACTGGTGCTTTTTTCCGGCAAAGCTCTGAGCCGGAAAAAAGCGGCAGCCATGTTTATGCAAATGAAGCAGGGGGGATTTAAATCCCCGCTTCATTTGCAATTGCGATGTGTCTAATTTGCATCCCTTTTACGGAAAAGGGATGCAGTCTAGACACAGCCATCCTGAATAAATACACATTCAGTGCCCCAGTAATTGTTTTGCTTGAGATGTTCTTTAAAACAAGACATAAGACAGGTCCATGATCTTTTGTCAATAAAAGGTCTTGTAGATCTTTTTGGTAGAGTACGGTTATTAGTTCAATCTCCATGCTAAATTCCAGCTGAGCAATGAGACTATGCTTGTCTATAGCTCACGCTGTAGTCTCAGCTGGGAACAGAATTCTCCTCCACCTTCTGTCCTAAATAGTTGTGGAGTACTGTTGCATTCCATCCCAGAGCATTACATTTGTATTACAGCAAAGGTTGAAGAGATGCCTGTGCATGTTATCATCATTTAACATTTACATTGTAGTAGTGTCTATAGGCCACCCTGCTCTAGGTGATTGGCAAGGGGAAGCCAAAAGAACTTCTCTAGGTGCCTTCTCTAGATAAGGTCTCCTGCTTGCCAAGGCATGATTTGTCCAGGATAGGCTGGGGAGCAAGGAATGAAAGGAAAATTGGCACCATGGAGTGCATTTTTAGTTTCTCTGAGCAGGACCTGAATGTGTTCCACCTGCTGATATTTACTCCTTCATGACTACCAAACTCCATACCAACTGACTGGAGGGGAACATGCTCCTCCTAAAGTACATCTTCTTGCTCCCAAGATGCATGGGCTACAATGAAAATGTCTTCATCCAGGCGTCAAACACAAAACCGGGACACTCACCTGCTTCACAGGGGGCTAATGAGGTTACATTTAATTAAGTTTGTAAAGGGCTTTGAGATCTTCAGATGAAAGGCATTTCAGAAGTACAGGCTTATCTTCAGCAATGAATAAAATATGACACTATATGAAGTTATGTTGCTGTTTGTATCTCTTCCTGCTGTGATGACCAAAGACAAGGAAGTTCCTTAGAACAGCCACCCCTGGGAAAAAGGATTATCCAGGATAAACATTCTGTTTCCTTTGAGTTTATTTTCAGGGGAGTGAGAAATAAGATATGATCCATGTTAGGCACGAACGTCAAAAATATATATTATTATTCCCAGTGACACCTACAGAGCAAAGATGATATCCTAAAAGCCTTTGTGCTTGACTAATCCTGATAGCACTTTAGAGCCCTAGCAGAAATTTACTTTCTGCTTGAGATAATAAACATTACTTTAAATGAGATAGATACATCTGCTCAAATTTTGGAGAAAAAAAAAAGCCACAATTCAAGACTTGGACTGGATCCCTCAATAGCATCATGTATACCAGTTTCTGTTGTGTTGCTATAGGATATAGTGCATAAATCTTTGCCTCTTTCCAGGTATTTTCAGATCTGTATGTGCAAAATGAAATGTCCCTCATCATAAATGCTAGAGAAGAATGAACTGCTTTGAATGGGATACTTAGAGCATGAACAGTTTTTAAAAACTAAGTATAATAAGAATACACAATATATGGTTTAAAAAAAACTAGAAAGGAAAAATAAACAAATGAAATGCCAGATTGTGGCTTCTACATCCTCCTCGTCATGTTGGTGATACTATTTTGAGGGATAATAGCACTTCTCTACCTTACAGGGTGAAAGAAGGATATTTGATTGTTGGGCACTCAGATTCCATTCTTAGGTAATGGAAGGCTATCTGAAGGATTAAAATTCCATTAGCTTGAGGTTCTGAATTCATACCAACCTAGCCATGCCTGGGACTTCTAAGAATAGCTCTTCATAAATTCTGCAACAATGAAGTACCAGGGCTTTTTTAAAGATCAGAGGGTGGTGCACACTACAATCAGTAGCAGCTTCTGGCTGAAAGTAGGTAGGAATATAGTTGTCTCTTGCTCACAAGAACTGTTAAGTGTGTCCCCTGCTATGACAATGAGGAACTATGTCTTTGCAGACAGGCATCCTTTTACAACGAGCACAATGGGCAGAGTTTTTGTCAATAAGCCATGAGTAATAACAACGCTCCTCCTTCCTAAACCAGAAGGAGCAGCATTTCAGGCTCTGCATGTAAGAATCCATCCCTCTCCTTTGTAAAAATCACACAGGACTCACGTTAATCCAAGGATGATTCATAAACTGAGAAATTGTCATTCTCTCAGTCGGGTCTGTCTTAAGCAAGTGACGAATCAGATGCTTGGCTGAAAGACAAGAACCAACACGGCACACTGTATTCAGTTATATCCACACAATCTTCAGAATAAAGAACTTGCATTAAGAAAGGTGATTGTATCCAGCTCAAGACACCTACCTGTGTCTGCTCTCATGTTAACAAGCAGTGGAGATGGGAGAGACAAAGAGAGAACATATGTATGTGCATGTTTCCTCCCCCTGCCCTCACCTATTTAAAGAGGAGGAAAGTGGAAACAGGAAAGGTTGTAGGGAGAGGAGACAAAAGGATTAGGGATTCTATGAGCCAGTCTACACCCTGAAACCTACCTGTTGAGGACTACAGATGCCTCTAGTGGGTCCTGCTTGACCAGTGTTGAAAACTGCACACCTGGGCTGTTGTCTAACACAGGGTTTTCTGCAGTTCTTCATTAACATAGTATCTAAACCTTTAATGCCCATGGCATTTACCAGACAAAACCGTTCTCAGTTATTCTTTCTGTAATCAGTTTTGTCCCATGCATACTGGCAGCTAAACAGTTTTCAGCACTGGTTCAAGGTGACCCACTGCTGAGTTTGTTTTGTAGACACAGCTGGATAGGTTGAAATTAGGAGGCAACTACCCTCAGTCACATCCATATGAAAACAAGTTTTCCATATACATTCTCTCTCTCTTCAGCTTCCATGAACATTTTAATAACTGCTAACTTGGGAGCGGACTGGAACAGACTCATCCAGGGGAGAACGACTAATCAACCAGGGACACACAACTGATGCATCCTCCTTTACACTAAATGTGCAGCGGATCACTGCACGCACAGCAATGAGATCCCATAATGGATGGCTATGCCGTATCTCACAGTGTGACGCTATTGGGGTGATACCTGCTTATCACTCAACACATGAAAATTAGGGCCCTCAAATGATTAAAAAATGAATTGCAATTAATGGTGCTGTTATTGTTTAACAGAAAACAATGTATTTAAAATATTTCTGGGTATTTCCTATATTTTCAAATATTTTGTTTTTATTACAACACAGAATATACAAGTGTACAGTGCTTACTATATTTTTATTACAAATATTTGCATTGTAAAAACCAAAAGAAATGGTGTTTTTCAATTAACCTAATACAGGTACAGTAGTATAATCTCTTTATCATGAATACTGAAGTTGCAAATGTAGAATTATGTTAAAAAATAACTGCATTCTAAAATGTTTAAAAAAGAGAAAACTTTAGAACCTACAAATCTTGCACAGCCAATCACTCAGAGAAATAAATTTGTTTACATTTACAGGAGATAATGCAGCCTGCTCCGTGTTTACAATGTCCTCTCAAAGTGAAACCCGGCATTCACGTGGCACTATTATAGCCAGCATCACAAGATATTTATGTGCCAGATATGCTAAAGATTCATATGCCCCTTCATGCTTCAACCACCACTACAGAGGATATGGGTTCATGCTGACAAGTTCTGCTATATAATGATCCAAAGCAGAGTGGACCGATGCATGTTCATTTCATCATCCGAGTCAAATGCCACCAGCGGGAAGGTTGATTTTCCTTTTTGGTGGTTTGGGTTCCTTATCAGAGTGACACACTATTTTTAGGCTTCTGAAAGTATTCTCCAAATCTTCTCTCAGATTTTGGAAGATACTTTATATTTTTAAACCTTGTGTTGAGTGCTGTAGCCATCTTTAGAAATTTCACATTGCTACCTTCTTTGCATTTTGTCAAGTCTTCAGTGAAATTTTTCTTAAAATGAAGAACATGTACTAGGTCATCATCTCAGACTACTATAATATGAATGGCAGAATACAGGAAAAATAGCAGGAAACATATTTCTCCCACAAGGAGTTCAGTCATAAATTTAATTAATGCATTTTTGAACGAGTGTTGTCAGCATGAAAGCATGTCCTCTGGAACAGTGGCTGAAGCATGAAGAAGCATACAAATGTTCAGTGTATCTGGCACTTAAATACCTTGCAATGCTGGCTACAATGGTGCCATGTGAATGACTAGTCTCATTTTCAGGTTGCATTCTAAATAAGTAGTGGGCAGCATAATCTCCCATAAATGTAAACAAACTTATTTCTCTTAGTGATTGGCTGAACAAGAAGCAGGACGGAGCAGACTTGTAGACTCAAAAAGTTTTATATTGTCTTGTTTTTTAATGCAGATATGTTACAAACATATACATATATATTGGTGAGTTGCACTTTCACAATAAAGAAACTGCACTACATCTTATTTGTATGAGATGAACAGAAAAATACTATTTTGTTTCTCATTTTTACAGTGCAAATACTTGTAATTAGGGATGCTATATATCGACTAATCGAATAGTTGATTCATTTTGCTGTTGCTATACTTCAAAGGTGAAAGCGCCGTGTGGAACCCAGGATCCCATCTGATCCCGGGCTCCACACAGTGCTGCTGCTTTGAAACACCGCAAGAAGCCTGATGCTGGGCTCAAAGTGGCAGCACTGTGTGGAGCCCAGGGTCAGCTGGGGAGTCCCCAAGTTGATCCCGGGCTCCATGTGGTGCTGCCACTTTGAAATGCCACGTGCAGTCTGGGGACATCCCAGCTGGCCCCAGCTGCACACAGTGTTTCAAAGCAGCAGCACTGCATGGAGTCCGGTTTCTGGCCCCAGGCTCCAAGCAGCGCTGCTGCTTTGAGGTATCTCCTCCAGTACCCCCCATCTGCCTCTTTCTGATAGAGGCAGCGGGGGAGGGGGGGAGGGAACGACTAGATAACTAGTCCTTCACATCCGTACTTGTAATCAGAAATAATAATATGTGCACACTGTGCACTTCTGTGTTGTAATTAAAATCAGAATATTTGAAAATTTAGAAAAACATCAACAATATTTAATAAATTTCAGTTGGTCTTCTACTATTGTTTAACAGTGCAATTAAAACCATGATTAGTTGTGATTAAGTTTTAACCACAATATATTTAATGAATCACATTAAATATTTGTGATTAATCAACAGTTCTAGTGAAATTTAAAAGTTATCACAGAATAAATCACTTCTTTTCTAACAAGTATTCTATGATTAGAAGTATGATCAGAAGCTGCAGAACATTTTTTCCCTGACAGATGCTTTGGCAAGTGAGACTAGATGGTTTAGGAGATTAGTGTAGTAAAGGGAATCAGAACCTTCCACTTCTAGTGTACTAATTTTAATTAATTCAGGTCACCACTAAACAGCTGACTTTGGTCGCTAGTTTATTAACATAGATCACTGACCTCAGTCTAATGTCTGGATGACAAGTGTCCACATCGCAAAATTTATTTTGAGACGTTGGCAGCATCAATAAGGAAGCCAATATCTGACATCTCCCTTGAAGCTCACCTGGCACCACTGCTACCTGTTCTGTGGATTAAAGTCTTCAGTTTCCAGGGATGTATCTCTAGCATCTCTCACCAGCACTCAATAAACTTTTTCTGTTATTTACATTCCACAGTGCTCAGGATACCCCTGTATCATTGATATCCCTGTATAATTTCATAAAAATCTTGATTGAAAGAGCATCACAAAAAGAATGACCCTTAGAAACAGTCTGAAATGTAAGCATATAGCCCTCTTCAGCCCCCAATGTGTATGCATGAGTAACAAAGACACAGGCTAGTTCAGTTACCTTCTTCTGATACTTCAGACCATTCTGGATTGGGAAATCCATATTGTCCCATACGAATTCTCCTTTTCATCCCTGGGGAAATGGCCAGTCCCGTGTTGGAGTAAAATGGAGGAAAGCCACATAGGCTGTAAGAAAGATGCATGGAATAGTTATAACTAGGAAATTCCCCTATTCCTTTGCTCGACATAAAATCAGAAAGCCAATGATTCTTCCAAAGATGGGATGAATATAATCCCAGTGACTAGTCCATTACTTAGTACAAATATCACAGAAAAATTAATGCAGCAATGGTATCTGCGATGGAAGTAGGGCAGTACAAATGGGTTGAGATGGCTTACCCCTTGTCTATTCACCTGTCCCTGTAAGCTCATACTTACAGAATATAAGTAATGACACCAAGAGACCACATGTCACATGATTTGTCATATTTCTCAGGACCAAGGACTTCTGGGGCTGAGGAAAGGAGAAAATCAGAAACAGCTGATTGCCAAATATTTTCTTTACTTCTGAACAGCAAGTAGTACTATAAAGTGACATCACTATTGTAACAATTGCAATGCATATACCAGGAATTGGGACCTCTGAGACTATGGGCCAGATCCAGCCCCCCACTTATTTTGAGCTAGGCCCATGGCAATTCTCTGAGTTTTGGTGACCCTGCAGGTCTGGAGCGTGAGTTGAGTGTCCCAAAAAAGGTCCCCCAACTCTGGTGTATACCCTAGAATTAGAACATCAAATACAGTATAGTTGGACTTTCAGAACATTGGTACTCACTGCTAGTTGCAAGGAAGGCAACATTTCAGTCAAGAGTAAATGTTATTCTTGGATTACCAATGCCTCCATTTTCCTAGTTTAAAGATGCATCTTTGTAGTTGGGGAATGATCAATCACCCTGTTCTCTCTCACCCTGTTTTTATGCTAAGCAAAGTTTCGCAGAAAAACAGCCCAGTGGTTGTGAAAGCTAGGTTCAGATTATGGATTTTATCATGTCAGGCCACAGAGAAAAAGCCAGCATTACATCTGTGTAGCCATGTTTGCCATTGACCTTGATTGTAAAATTCTAGATTCCTCTTTGTCCTCTCTGCAGGACAGAAGAGGTGCCCTTCACAGCTGAGGAGATTTCCCAAGGCTCACTGGGATGTCTATACATGTGGAAGAACGGGACTTACCCACATAATAGGGCGTATAACAGGGCGTCTGCAGAGCATTCTGTATAGTGGTCTCTTTGGCAAACCCGAAGTCTGTGAGCTTGAGTACTGCATTCTTTTCTTTGGATGTGTAAAGTAGGTTTTCAGGCTGCCATGGCATCAAGAGAAAAGGTAATTCCAACAACACAGGGAAAGGGTCTCAAAATAAATTCTATTGGGCTGTACTCCTAATTCATCCATGGGGCCACCTGTTCCCCACCAACGAAGTGCGGCATTCTCTCTTCTCACTTCCCCACTCCAGACTGAGGATCATTTCCCTTCCACAGTAAAGAGCATCTTTGTCTAAAGCAGGCATCAAAATCCTTCCCAAGCCAATAATCACAGAAAAACGGGCTCAGTCCTGCCTCCCCTGGAGTCAACGGTAACATCATCCACTTCAAACGGTGCAGAACCAGGCTTTCTATGAACCCTTCCTCAGAACATTACACTTTGGGGGATTGTTCTCTCTCACCCACATTGTATCTAATCTGATATAGATATCGGTCCATGCTCTGTGTTTCCACGAGGCATTCAGGCCAGCAGGAACAAGAACCAGGGTATTCAAAATAGATCATCTTGAAAACCAGAATCATGGCCAGTGTCTGACACTGCTCTATTAATACATACACAAAGATACAGCGCTTCTCCCAAAACTGAACGAATTCTGTCCTTACAATCTTGCACAGTTTACTCTGAGAGGAGGATTCTTAAGCACTGAGTAAAAGGGAACTCGGAGTTCAGGTATTAGTTAAGTAAGGACTTTATTTAACTTCACTGGGAGAGAAGAAAAGACTGCAATTACAGTTCTGTGCACAGATATGTTCTCTTCGACATGGGGTTATTTAGAAGGAAGAAACATGTTTTGTGGAAGGACTTGAAGGAGGAGGGAACTGAAGGATGGCAAACTACTTTGTACCATTTCTGCATTTGCCTACTGTGCACGTGGCACATGTTGTGTAGTCAGCCAGCATTAGTTCTTATGCACAAACCCAGCTCCATCAAAATACATGGAATTTTGACCCTAAATTTGTATATCAGTGATGCTGATGGACACTAAATAGCTCAGGGTATAGTTCTACATGGCTCTGTGTAGTGTGAAAACACATGTCTTGTAAATCTGCATACCACGTGTTGTAACCCTTCATGGGGAGAGAGGTTATTATGTGGGGGCTCGCAAGCTGTCAGGCTACAGCCCAACCCTAAGTAGTGTTAAATATAAAAAAAAGTGTTTTTAATGTATAAAGAGAATCACTCTGAGTTTTGCTGCGTGAAAGGAATCACCAATGCAAAAGTGTGAGAATCACTGGCATATGCAGTCCAGGTATTCTTGCTTCTCTGGACTAGCCCGAGATCCTTACCACTATTCTAAATCAGTATCTGAAATTCAGAATTACTTTCTGGAATAATTCTCTTCAATATTGTGCCACAAATAACTACCATCCTTTTTATAACCTTAACATATCTGAAGACTTATCAGGTTCCCCTCAGTCTTCTCTTCTCAGGACAAAACATTCTCAGGGTATGTCTACACTACCACCCTAGTTCGAACTAGGGTGGTTAATGCAGGCAACCAGACTTGCAAATGAAGCCCGGGATTTGAATTTCCCGGGCTTCATTTGCATATTGCCGGGCGCCGCCATTTTTAAATGTCCGCTAGTTCGGACTCCGTGCCCATGGCTACACGCGGCACGAACTAGGTAGTTCGGATTAGGCTTCCTATTCCGAACTACCGTTACTCCTCGTGGAACGGGGTTTGCTGCCCGTCTCCCTGGTCTGCTGGAGACCAGCACACCAGGGAGACGGGGAGCAAAGCCTCTGAGGATGCCGGCAGCGGGACAGCGCGGGCAGTGAGACAGCCCAGACGTGCCGGGGCTGTCCCACTGCTGGCGTTCTCAGAGGCTTTGCTCCCCGTCTCCCTGGTCTGGGGAGACGTGGAGTAAAGCCGCGGAGCACGCGGGCAGCGGACAGCCCAGACACGCCGCGGCTGTCCCGCTGCCAGCATCCTCAGAGGCTTTGCTTCCCGTCTCCCTGGTGTGCTGGTCTCCAGCAGACCAGGGAGACGGGCATCAAACCCCGTTCATAACTGCGGATGCGACATAAGTCGGATCCGCGTAACTCGGGGACTGCCTGTAGTTGTTAAGCCACATTTTCCTAGTTTGCTTATGAGAATGACATATGGGTCTACGTCAAAAGCTTTTTTAAATCAAAATACAGCGCATTTACTGCTTTCCCCTGCCTTCTAGATCAGTAACTCTGTCCAAGAAGGGATTTAGGTTGGTTCGGCATGATTTGTTCTTCACAAATCTATATTTGCTACAGTTTAGTACCTTATTATTTTCTAGTTGCTTCTAAACTGATTGTTTACTAATTTGTTCCAATATCTTTCCAGGTATCAAATTTAAGCTAACTGGTTACATTTCCCCAGCTCCATTTTGTTCCCCTTTTTAAAAGACATGTTTGCACTTCTCCAGTTCTCTGAGAACTCACAGAGAATGCGCAAAGTCCCAAAGATTATTGCTGACAGTTCTCAGATTGCTTCAGCGAGTTCCGTAAACACCTTAAGATGAATTTCATCAGGTCTTGCCAACTTGAATACATCTAAAATATCAAAATACTCTTTAACCTCTTTTTTCCCCTATTCTGGCTTGTGTTCCTTCCCCTTGTTGTTAATATTAATTATGTTAAGCATCTCTCCACACTGAAACTTTTTTTTAGCAAAGACTGAAACAAAACAAACACCCCAGTCTTCTTGATGTTTTCTATCATTAACTCTTTTCCCCCACTAAACAGTGTGCCTGTGCTTTCAATCATCTTTCTCTTGCTCAGAGGCTACGTCTACACTGGCATGATTTTCTGAAAATGCTTTTAACGGAAAATCATTTTCAGAAAAGTGCGTCTAGATTGGCAGGATGCTTTTCCGCAAAAGCACTTTTGGCGGAAAAGCGTCCGTGGCCAATCTAGACGCGGTTTTCCGCAAAAAAACCCTGATTGCCATTTTTGCGATTGGGGCTTTTTTGCGGAAAACAGTACTGTGCTGTCTACACTGGCCCTTTTGTGCAGAAGTCTTTCAGAAAAAGACTTTTGCCCGAATGGGAGCAGCATAGTATTTCCGGAAAAGCACTGACGATCTTACATGAGATCGTCAGAGCTTTTCCGGAAATTCAAGCGGCCAGTGTAGACAGCTGGCAAGTTTTACCGGAAAAGCGGCTGATTTTCCGGAAAAACTTGCCAGTCTAGATACAGCCATAATGTATATGTAAAACCTCTTCTTATTGTCTTCTATGTTCCTTGCTTGCTGTAACTCATTTTGTCCCTTAGCCTTTTTGATTTTGTCCCTAACACATTTGCACTGATGTGTTGTATTAATCCTTAACCATTTGTCCATGTTTCCCTGTAGGATTCCTTTTTTATCTTCGGGCCATTAAAGCAGCCTTATTGATTTCTTGCTAGTCCTACTATCACTTCTTTGCAACAGGAAAGTATACTGTTATGCCTTTAATATTATCACTGAAAAACTGCCGGCTCTTCTGAATTCTTTTTTTCTTTAGGTTTTCTTCCCTTAGGACCTTACTTACTAGTTCTGAGTTTGCTGACATCTCCTTTTTTAAAGCCCACTGTCCTTATTCCACGGCTCTCATGCCTTCCTTTTCTTAGAACCATGAAACTGGTCATTTCATGATCAGTTTCACCCAAGTTACCTTCCTCCTTCAGATTTGCAACCTAATACCTCCCTCCTAGTCAAAATCAAGTCGAATATTCATTTCTCTTCCCTCTTCCCAGGGTGTTTAATTTGTATGCAACTGGTTTCACACTTTCCTCTATATAAAGAAAGTTCTCCTTCTATGGGTCTTTTTTGAAAATAGAAATATATGATTTTGAAATTACAAAAACTGACAGGGACCTCAGGTGCAGTATCTGAACCAACACACTGGTTTTTAAATTAACTAGACTTCAAGTTGAATGTCTCTTTAATACCAGTTATGACTACTTTTTATGTTGCATATGTAACTGAAAACAATTGGCCTTGGTGTGGGTGAGTAGATAGAGGCAGAAATGATTGGGTATGAACAGATCCTCCCCACATTGGCATGAAACAGATACACTTTGGCCACTTCATTGTACTCATCAATGTTAAATAAATCACCACTGCCTCCTTGTTGTCAGTGTAACTTTTCTCCCCTGAACAGGTACATTCAGGCCTTACCTTGACATCTCTATGGGCAATGTTCATTGCATGCAGATAATGGATAGCTGTTCCAATGTTTCTCATTATCTCAGAAGCCTCTATAAATATAATTTCAGAGAAAGGTCATATTAACATTCCCACTGTAGCTCAGAGACATGCCTGGGAATTTTTCTCAGTTAGAAGCCAGCTCATCTCTATACAGGGCCAGTGTCAACACTGGAAAAGCTAAAATTAGCCTTAACAGCTGTGTTTTTGTTTTGAAGGCAATCATACTCCACAATCCTCTGGCAGCTCAGCCACTCTCATGAGCAGGCACAGTAACTGGAATAGCTGAGACTCCTGCTCTGTAAATTAATGCTCTGCCATGCTCATCAAAGCAGAGTATTATGGGTACACAAGGGCAATGTATCAATGCACAAGATCATGAAGAAAGTGTCCCAGGTATATTTTTGGGCTACTCAGCAAAGAAGTTTAACGCTGCACCAGAGATGTTAAATATCAGTTAATTGAATAGTCAATGAACCTCATGAATTCTTTTTGGTTACTCATCTATTCTATATTCCCCAAGGGTGGGACTGGCAGCGATAGCATCTTCACTCCTGAGGAGCCCCTGGCCACTCTGTGCTGCTGCCTCTATATCAGAGGAAGCAGCATGTGGTGCCAAGTGGGAACTGGTCCTCAAGGGCAGACAGTTTAAAAATCAGCTCCCCTCATGGACAGGCGGCCTGTCACTATGTGCTGCTGCCTCTGATACATCAGAGGCAACAGTGTGGGGTGGCAGCAGCCCCTATCCAGGGGTGGACAGAGTTCCCAGACCTGGCAAAAGCCAAAACCGAGCCAGGCTGCCCGCCTGGCTCCCAATCACTTTAAATGCAGAGCTGCAGTGGGGGTAGGTCCTGGACCCAGCACGAGCCAAAACTGAGCCAGGCTGCTGGCCAGCCTGCTAAAAAATGTACTGGTGGGCTGGGAGGGAATGCATGTAGTCTATAGAATTGAACTAATAGCTTCTGCTTATCCGTTAATCGACTACACTATTACTTCTTTACTCTTGGTCCTCCTCAGCCTCCAACAGTGTTTCCTCATATAAAAGTGAATTAGCCATTTTATCATGCAAATCATCTCCTAGTATTTGTTTTCACCAGTGTACTTTAAAGTCTAATTTCGGCATTTGATACCTACTCCCACAGAAAATTCTAGTTGCCAGTGAGCTCTCTGTGCCCCCAGCAACAGATTTGTGAAGTGAAAGTGGGGAGAGTTCATTGACTTGGGGCAGCCAGAAGACTTATGTGGGAGGCCATTTCAGAGAAAGAGGTTGTGTCCTCCTCTGGCTCTGTGTGCTAAGCAGCTATTATAGAGCAGGGGCTGGTTTAGGCTTCAATCCCCTATGGTGCTTTCCCTGCCCCCCCCCCCCCCCCCCCCGCCTATTCCCACTGCTATGCATCGACACTAGCTTAATTCCACAAGTCTGCAGAAATACCAACAGAACCAATGCTCTCTCCATGAATAGGTGTTAGAGTTAATATGTTACACTTGGGCCTTTGTTTCCGTCACAAGTAAGAGCATAACCCAAGTGATGCTCTCAGCTTCAGAGGCTGAGGGGGAAACTGAGATTATTTTACTTGACCCAGGAAAGCCTACTTTATAGAGAATTACCTGGGTATAGAGCAAGTCTCCTGCTTTGGCTAGAGTGTCCATGTTTGGCATGATACAGAAGTGCTCTTGCGTGAGGGCAAAAACTGCCCAGTCAGGCAGGAACAACCAAAGGGAGGAAAAATTCATCCTCTTTGGAAGCTGTGTAAGTTATATCCATGCATACCCTTCTCCTTCGCTATCTAGGTTCTAAGCACTAGGAAGCTGTCTGCTAGGTGGGCAGAGAGTGCGATCTTAGGAGGTCCCTCCAAGAAAGAGGGATATTAATTTCTCAGCGCCTGTTGCGCAAGTGGAGGGTTTTTCTCTTGTAGTCCCAGAGGTCTATAAAGGGGTACCTGGAAGAAAACACTCAGTAAGAGCTAGGACCACCAAATTCAGTATTCAGCTTCTTCTTATCATGGCTTAAAGCAATATAAGGGTTTGGTTGTGCCAGGAAAATGAGATGTGCCTGGAATGGGATTGCTTTGGTGATCCTAGCTCTTACCGTGTAGGATGAGTTCTTGATCAAACAGACAGACAAACTCTCTAAAATACGGAGTAGATTAAATAGAACACTCAAAATACATACATGAAGTAGACAGAAAAGAAAAATGCAGAAAAAGTTTTGTAATCACCGTAGTTTAAAAAAAATAATGGTACATACAGTTTATTTTAAAAACTTAAATTGAGGTTTAAAACAACTTGAGTTATGGACCCAAGCAATGCCGGGTAAATTTGCTAGTAATTCATAAAAGTCATGTTGTTATCAGGGTAAAACTACTTAAAATCACAGCAATACTATTTCCTGCAGGAGTCTTGTGTCTGACAGAGCTACCAGGTACACTCCTCAGACTGCATCCAGTTTGTGTGCTCCACATAAGTTACTCATGCCTCTTGAGGGATTCATCATAGACTAGAGAGTAGCATTGGAAACAGAATCACAAAACATGTCCTCTATACCAACTTTGCACAATGGTCACAATAATTTACAATTCAGGTATAAATTCCATTCACCTCCCCATTTCGTGAGGACAAAAATAATACAACTCTAATATTTTACTTTCCGATACAAGTAATCCACTTCTCTGGCAGTGAGTGCACAAGTAGAATTTTGCAGTCATGTGCATTTATGGCACTGTCCAAATAATAATGATAATTAATAAACAGGCTGTTGTGTTCCAGGTACTCTCAGTGATTCACTGTGGGACCTTAAACAAGTCACATAGCCTTTCTGTACAAAGTCTTTGTTATAATCATTTATTCACAACATAGCTGAACACAAATGATGCTTCTCAAAGGCGGCTCCCAACTGAAACTGCAAGAGAGACTGGACTGTATGTAGGATGGGAGTACAGTGGCAGAGATGTGTGAGGACCAGAATTAGAACAGCAGGGATTGCTGCAGCTTGGAACTTACATGTATGGGCAGATGCGTGTAAGGAATTTCTCATCTAGCATTCCACATTATTCCTAACGCTAGCCAATTCTTTTCATGTTCATGACATTAAATTGTTTTAAAGATAGAAAATAGAAATTTAAAACAACAGGAAACAAAACTGAACCCAATAAAGCTTCTGTAATAACAAAGCAAACATTTTCCAATTATTTTGGCTGGGGAGGGAGGATGAAGGGAATAAACCCTCACAAACTCATGACATTTTACCTTTCTCCGTGAAAGCTTGGTCTCCTCGCTCCTGGATCCTGTTGAACAGCTCTGAACAGCTCCCCTGCCCCCATGCTGAAACAGAGAACACATACAAAACAACCTCAGGGGGATGAGCAAAAGAAATCACCACCACACCATGCATGGACTTGCAATAAGTTAGGGAACCTGCTTGCCTGTCTCTGAGACTTGAACTTGCTAAATAATTTGATCCTAATAGGTCCAGTGCAGATTGCAGACCTGCTCCACATTACATTTAAAAAAAAAACACTCCAAACTGTAGGAGTTTTGAGGCCTGCGATTTAGTATGAAGTGAAGCATTTCCCAGAAAACAGAATCACTGACATTGGTAAGACGTCCAGTCATGTTTCTGAGAGACCGGAAATGACAGGTTGGATGCTGGTTCAGAAGACTGGTAGCACTCCTTGTAGCCTTACTGCATTGCAAACAAGGTCTTTAAGATTTGGAGATGAGGGAAAAAGCAGAAGCAAGCGAGTAAGCAAATGAGTAACTGACAAGACAGATATTAAAGGAGCCCCCCTAGAGGAAGACAACACTGCAGCATTGTCACCAAGAGGGTGGGGGACAGAGGGAAGAATTAGGGTTAAGTGGTAGTCTGGGGGAGACAAACGACCCTATCAGGACAGTCAGCCCCCATGAGAATGTGTCGAGGAAAGTGACAGATGCATGTTTGAATATATGTATTAATTACACCCACGTTTCCATAAAGATACATTTCTCTGAGTGCAAAGGAAGGTTAGTTTCGTGATTAGTCTTCTTGTTCCTCCCACAGACAGGCTGCTTGAGCAGCTGCAGGTTTCCCCATAAATCCTATAAAGAGAGTAGCGCACTAGGCTACTGCCTGGCAAAACTGCGCAGTCAGGACTGCTTCCAGCTCTTACATCCAGCTGTCATGGTCCCACTACTTTCCAGAATGTGGGTAAGTTAGAAGGGACTTCCTGGTTCGTACCATTCCATAATGATGAGGAGACATCTTTTCCCCTGATGTATGTTTTCATACACGTCCAGAATGTGGACAATATGGGGACAGCCTGATGCCCTCCAGTGATGATCCACCTCCTGTCGTGCTTTTGGGCTGTCATACAGGAGCTGTAAGGAGATAGGAGAGAGCAATGACTATCAGTCCAAGCCAGGGGTTCTCAAAAATATAGGGCAGGGCTCCCAAGGGAGACCCTGGAATGTGTCACAGGAAGTGTGAGCTGTGTGCTCCCCCACCCCTTTAAGAGCTCTGTTGGCCCTGGGCAAGGTAAATGCGACAGCCAGAGCCCTGCCACCCAATCTCAGTCTTTTCTCACCCCCAGAACCTCTCACTGGGATGCAGCAGGGCCCTGGCTTTCAGCCCCAGGGCAGCAGCCCAGCAATCAAGTAAGATTGGCAATGGGCCACTATGAAAAATGATATTGGCGAATGTCACTTTTCACACACCTCCCTTACTTCTGAGCCAACAGGCATGGCACTGCCTTCAGAGCTGGGTGGCAGTAAATGTACGTGGAGGAGAGGGGGTGTCAACAGTAACAGACACAAAGAAGGGGGGCCGGACCAAGTAAGTCTGAGAGCCACTGCTCTAAGCTATTTTGCTTAAAACTGGTGTTCAAAGGGCACTTGCACTCAAGACCATGGCAGGGCTCCTCTTTGGCTGCCATCTCAGCTCGCAGGACGCTAGACCATGCTGAGATGTTTTATGCTAACAGGACTGAACAGCTTTCCTGGACTAGCCTTAGGGCAAGGCAAGCAAGGTGGTTGCCTTGGGCCCCGCACCTTCAGAGCCTGCACTACACCAAGCCCAAGTATAAGGGGCTGAGGCTGGAGCTGGCGCTGGACAAGCTGGTCACCTGCATCACCGTGGGACTGCCGCCGCTGCTCATCTTGCTGGCCTTCGCACAGGGGATCTCCATAGATACCCGCCCAGTCAGCCCCGCAGCCCAGCACCCTGCCACTGCCCTGGCCGAGTTCCCCTCCTCCCCCTGCAAGTGTCTGGGCTCCAGCCCTGCTGCACTGGTAAGGCTGTGGGAGCTGGCTCAACCCGTATGTGTGTTGACAGCACTAGGCTGTGTTTGGTCCTAGTGAGCCAGGATGCAACCCCAAGCCGCTTGCCTTTCTCCGTCTGCCGCAAATTGTGTATGATCTGTAAGGAGGGGAGAGTCACACAGGTCAGCAGAGAATCCGACCTGGCCAGAGTGTTGTGGAATAAATCCAGTGAGAGACTTGTGCTTCCCCGGCTGGACTCTGTAACCCAAGGATGTGAACCTTTTTTGAGTCAGGGGCCACTGACCCACAGAAAAATTAGTCGGGGGCAGCACGCGAATGAGAAGTGAAAAAAACCCTCTCACTGTGGCCCCTGACTGAGGAAAAAGACTCCCCACATTCCCCTCACACACCAGAGCCTGAGGGGCCCAGCCTAATAGATTTTGTGCACTCAAGCCCCCAGGAGGGTAGCAGGTGGGCTGAAGCACCAGCACGGGCTCCCCAGTGTGGGGGAGAGCCCTGAGCCAGGCCTGAGGTCCCCCACCCATTGTAACCCCTCAACTAGGTTTGACTTAAACTAGAGCATCCACCGGCTGGACCCCGCTGTTAGGATGCCGCCTTGGGCCCCGCAAACTCCTTGGCCAGGCCTGGGGTGACTGTTCCGTGGAGAAGAAACGGCAATAGACGGAGACAGTCTCACCCTACCCACTCCTTGCCAGCAACATCCCCTTCCTCACTGGCTTGCTTGGGACCCTAACACTGCCACACATGTAGAGAAGCCTTGGTGCTCAGAGCAGCAGAGGCAGGAAGGGACTTCTTGGCATGCTGCCCAGAAGCAGCACCCTGCAGAAAGGCTGGTCAGCCAGTGAAGCTGCACAGGTGTGGACAGAATGTGATGCTGCCCATCTGCTGGAGGGAGGGGAGGGCGAGAGAGGGACGGGGGGGTGGGTCTTATTGTGCAGCATTGACTTGGTTCCTGACTCTCGCCGTAGGAAGAGCAGACACACAGCCAGGCTTCTCAGACTGGGGGTGATGATGTGGGTGGTCATGAGCTATCAGCATCCACCACAAACCTATGTAGCCCCTGGTATTAACTATTACAAGAGTGTTTTTAATTTATAAGGAGGGGGTCACACTCAGAGACTTGCTGTAGTACAGGGGCCACCAATAGAAACATTTGGGCTAAAGCTTTTGTGCACACTGGGCTAAAGCTTTAGCAACTAACAGCTGAGAGATTTTCACCACTGTAGGGAGCCTGCATTGCCACCCTGTTCCTAAATTCAGGACTCCCGCCCCAGGCCACAGGGCTTCTTCCAAGACCATCAGTCTGTGGCCTGAGCTCACCCTTGGCAGCCATCCTCCCACCAGCCTTGACGTGGCCTGGTTTCCATGCAATTTGTCAAAGAAAAGTGGGATCCAATTTAGATAGAAAACAAACAAAAACAGCCTATTAGCAAGCCCAAGCGCAGGAACTGTACTTCTTTCAATCATCCGTCCATTCAGCCTGTTCTTTCCCTCAC